CATGGGAAGCAAGCCACCTCATATAACACTGACATATGTGTAGAGATGCCAGCCTGCTGAAATCTACCCAGTGATAGCTAGTTGAGGTGAGATTTAAAAATCCAAGTCCAGTATCAATGCTTATATCTACTTATCTACATGTATTTACATATACAGTGGTACCTCGGGTTAAGTACTTAATTCGTTCCGGAGATCCGTTCTTAACCTGAAACTGTTCTTAACCTGAAGCACCACTTTAGCTAATGGGGCCTCCCGCTGCGCCGTGCCACTGGAGCACGATTTCTGTTCTCATCCTGAAGCAAAGTTCTTAATCCGAGGTACTATTTCTGGGTTAGCGGAGTCTGTAACCTGAAGCGTCTGTAACCCGAGGTGCCACTGTAGCTACTTAAAGCTACATAGCCTTGCGAGTACTTCTAGATCCATTACAGTGATACCTTGGTTCTCAAACGCCTTGGTTCCCAAACGCAGAAAACCCAGAAGTAAGTGTTCCGGTTTCAGAACATTTTTCAGAAGCAGAACATCCGATGCAGTTGTTGGCTATTGTTTCCGGGGCGCCTGCACCAATCAGAAGCTGCGCCTTGGTTTTTGAACATTTGGGAAGTCAAACGGACTTCCGGAATGGATTGTTTGGCACTTTTGCTTTTGCTATTTATTTTGCGTTTTTGTTTTTGAGGCTTTTTCAGTTAAATTGTTTTTCTGACTGTGTGGAACCCAGTTCAGCTACTGCTTGATTGACTGTGTGACTGCAGAAATGGATAAAAGCATCCAAACAATGACTATCATCAGTGCAGGTAAGAAAAAAATAATAATTTATTTTTTTTATCATCTACAATAATGTCTTATTTATTTTATAGCACAGTAGATTGATTATTGCTTTCATTTTATAGATCAATGGTCTTGTTAGATAGTAAAATTATTCTTAAATTGCTGTTTTAGGGGTTGTTTTTAAAAGTCTGGAACAGATTAATATAGTTTGCATTACTTTCTATGGGAAAGCATGCCTTGGTTTTGGAACGCTTTGGTTTTGGAACAGACTTCCGGAATGGATTAATTCTGAGAACCAAGGTATCTCTTTTGATGGGGCAGGAACTGTAAGACCTGTCTTTTATTTGTATGGAGGTGGGGTGTTTTTTTGGGGGGGGGTTATTGGTTTGTTTGTTGTAATTACTTTTAGTGTTTATACTGTGTAGTATGCTGCTTTGAGTCACATTTGTGAGTAGAGGACTAATAAATAATAATTGTCCCAGCACATATTAGCTGCATCAAATCCCCTTTCCTGAACAATTTAAAGACACATTAACCACACAGAGTCACATAGTTATGGGCTTTTGAGCCTTTCTTGTGCTGCAGTCCTTTACTTGTTTACTCATAAGTAAGTTTAATAGGGTTTACTCCCAGGTAAGTGGGGACAAGACTGCAGTATTATTGTGTAGAAAGGTGGCCAAGCCATGTGACTCCCTACAGACCTGTTGAGAGCAGGACTGAGCAACACAAAGGTAAAATACCACCAGTTCATCAACACCATTTAGCTGCTGTGAAGGTTTCTGCTATTGCTAGCTAGAGTGCCACTTCTCTGCTGTGGAAATGTTTTGCAATAATTATTACAATATGACAGCTGGTGCCAAACAATGTGATGATTCTAGAATGTTGTAAAAGCAACTGCAGATAAACAATCTGCTTATGTGGAAACAAATGAAAAGAACTGTATTGTAAGGGATTAAGAAGCTGCATCTAGGAAGCTGTAGCTGAAAATCTTGACATTAAAGAACTTGCATTAAATAAATCTGGCTGTTACCAGGCTTATTTTTAAAAGACCGATTCTGCCTGATGTTCAGCAGAACTAAGATGTGGCTTCAAGACCAGTAGCTACAGGAGACAATGGATTCCTTTTCTCCATCAATAGGATTCAGGCTTTACCATCAGTGATTTAGCCACACAAATACTACTAAGCTCTTGAAATCACCAATACGGTTGAAAGACAGACACACTGAAAGTTAAAGTCCATTATTTATGGCTTTGACTAATCTATAGCTATAATATACATACGCTTCCCAACAGACAGGCTGCTTGATATCAGGAAAGGAATCTGACTCCTTAAACTCTTCTTCCAAAGAGCTGAGGGCTATGTACACAGTTGTCTCACCAATTGTATCCTCACAGCAAACTTATGAGGTAGGGTAGGCTGAGAGTGAACAGATCAAGAACATCCAGTGACCTTTTTGGCTGAGGGGGGGGGGGATTTGAACCTGGGTCTCCCCTGTCCATCTCCAATATTCTAACCACTATACCACACCAGCAAGCTAGGCTTTCAGGGTTTCTGTACCTTCTTAGTAACAGATGGGTTCCATAAAAAGGTCTCTCCACCAACCTGTTGTTTCCAGGTGTAGAGCCAGTGTGGTGTAGTGGTTAAGAGCGGTAGACTTGTAATCTGGGGAACCGGGTTCGCTTCCCGTTCCTCCACATGCAGCTGCTGGGTGACCTTGGGCCAGTCACACTTCTCTGAAGTTTTTCAGCCCCACTCACCTCCCAGAGTGTTTGTTGTGGGGGAGGAAGGGAAAGGAGAATGTTAGCCGCTTTGAGACTCCTTCGGGTAGTGATAAAGCGGGATATCAAATCCAAACTCTTCTTATGTCTTTTCCCCTAGAAACTGATACGCTGATGGGGGGGGGGATACAAAAGGAGACTGCAATGTAGGCAACTCTACTGGAGCTTGCTTTAGTCGCTGGCTAAATAGTATTTCCTACATTGTTTGTTCCTTTGTCCAGGGTCACTTTGTTCATTTTGCTTCAGATTCTCTGCATTGTCTTTCATCCACCACTCTTGAGTTCACAGTAATCAACAGCATCTGGGATTCCTATCCACAAAGAGCAAATAAAGAGACTTTGAGCCTCTTGATCTGCTTATTTACCCCCTTGCCAATTTGCTGGGACATTGTGCAACGTAGCATCATTTTGTCTCCTATCTACAGTCAAACCATAGATCTCAGTGGATTTACATGGTGGTCTGTCAGCATCAAGGACCACAGTATCTTGTTTACACAAGAAGACATAAACCAGGGCTGTACTGTATGTCATAATCCAGTAGTAATGTCATTCAGTCTCTGAGAACCGGCCACCATGTTGTCTTTATTATAGGTTTGCATGGCCATGTTTGTTTCTTTCAAGTCCTTTGAACAACAGTTTATGGAATTGCTAAGCTGTTTGTGATTGACAATGCTTGTATTATGGAAAAGCCACATAAGAAGGGTCACCCTCTACTTTTATAGCTCCTTCCATGGGCGTAGCCAAGGGGTGGCAGGGAGGGGACAGCTGCCCCCCTAAATCAATCAAAGTACACAGCTGAGGTTCTGTCCCCCTTAACAAAAATCCTGACCACGCCCATGGCTCCTTCTCATTTTCCCTTAATTCAGCCAAAGATGCTGTAGGAAGGCTGATGTTTTTGACGTCTGGGGGCAGGGGTAAGGAGTGAAGGAGGAAAGTCCTTTTTGTAAGCAGATGTCCTTCTGCAGGGCTTTCACTGATGGATTATGTTAGGTGAATCCCACTCTCTGTTATGTTTCTTAAGTAATCTGCATAACTCAGTACCCCTTCTTTCAAGAATTTAATGCAAGAGCAAAGCCTTCCCATTGTATGACTCATTTTCCATGCACTAGATACCAAAAAGAACTGGTGTTCATCATACCATTAACAGCTGGGATTCTTCTCCAATCTCATAACCCCTTACGCAGGATTTGGCAGATTTTGTATCCAGATGGGAATAACGTGAGAGAATCAAAAGGGGTGTGTATGATGGGTGTTGACTGTACTCTCTGGCTCATAGTCGAGACAATGTTCTAGCCAGGCCTGTATGTAAGTGTTCAAAAAGTTCAACACAGTGAGTTAAAAGAGTTTAATTACTAGAGCAAGGCTGATCTTAGCAAAAAAACTAGAAGCAAAAGAAAAAGTCAGGTTAATAATGTTCCAAATGTTACCTATATAATAAGATAGCTTGTGATAGATAAAGATATTGATATGCACTTTTCTCTTATGAGTGATAAGTGGAGTGTTTGGTTTCCTTTTAGAGTACGTTGGATACTGGCATCTTTGCAATACAGTGGCACCTCGGGTTACATACGCTTCAGGTTACATACGTTTCAGGTTACAGACTAAGCCAGAAATAGTACCTCGGGTTTGCTTCAGGGTGAGAACAGAAATTGTGCTCAGCCAGAAATAGTACCTTGGCTTTGCTTCAGGATGAGAACAGAAATTGTGCTCCGGCAGCGCAGCGGCAGCAGGAGGCCCCATTAGCTAAAGTGGTGTTTCAGGTTACGAACAGTTTCAGGTTAAGAATGGACCTCCGGAACGAATTAAGTACGTAACCAGAGGTACCACTGTATTTACTTACAAGTATGCAAGCAGAGCATGCTGTCAGCAGGCAGCAGATCCCCAGAGAACTTGTGTAACCTCCACCAAAGGCATACCTTTTCAAACTAAGGCCAGGCTGAAATGTTCATCTCTCCCTGCCCCTCTCTCAAGCTGCAGGGGAGCCACCGACTCCAAATTCTGATGCATATGTAATATCAAACAGCCAAGAAGGATGTCTGGCAATCAAGAAACCATCATTACCCAGCAATGAGCCTATCAAAGCAAGTCACCCAGGAGGCTTAACATCATTATCTTTGCAGCCATTTTACCTTTCTTGGATTGTGGCCCATCATGAGCTGTACTACTCATGATGGGAGAGGCCCTCCTCTCCCCACCCCCCCACAATCTGTCACACACTGGCTTATAATCTAAAATGGTTTATAGTTTTAAGATTTGCTGCACCCAGGGGTTAAAAGGTCTGGCACCCACAAACTGATGACACTATGCAGGAGTGCCAGCTTGACCCTGTGACCATGGGTGGCTGTGGGTGCCATGCAGTGTGCATGGCCCTGGCACTGAAATTTGTGGGGAACGGCATATTTGGTGACATCATATATACATTGTGTTGCTATGGCGTCATTGGCAGCTCCACCAAGTAACATGCTTTCACATCATAAGCATGTGTATGTCCCAGTTCTGTGGGGCTTCCTAGTGTTCTCTCAGCAGTCTTGAACATTCATGAGCGTCATTTGGAACGCGTCCGTTGCACGTGGAACTACGCAGGGCAGCCTTTTAGCAACACGTCTGCAACATCCCAGGCGCTGCTTGAGGTCGTGCTTTCCGTGTTGCCTGCGGCCTGGCTCCCGCCGTTTCGCGCCCCTTTCCTCGGGACCCTCCTCGGGCTCCCAGCGCTCCTTCCTCGCTGGCTTCTGCACGACTTACTCTGCTCCCCTCGGGGTTTACCCACAGCTGTTGCCTCTGCAAACAGCGGGCTCTCGGGCAAAGCCTCTTGCGGCCGAGCAAACGAATGCCTTAGCAACTCGTGCTTCTCTCGGGATCCCTACGCCGAGGATCGTCAATCAAAGCGGACGACAAGCACGCGGGGCAGCTCTACTGCGGCGCTGGAAGGGGCGGGAGTGGGACTTCTTTTCAGAGTGGCGGATGGAGATGGAATGGAGAACGCCCACGCCTAAGGCGCGTTTAGTTTTGTTGGTGTTGCCGCGCGCCTCCAGGCCAGAGCGAGTTTCCTACCGAGGTTGGCGGGATGGCTCGGGACACTAGTCGGGCGAGGTAAACGCGGGGACTCTGGTATTCAAAGGCGCTGAGCAACCTCCCGCGCCTCTATATTTTCCTCCCCATTTGCTGTGAAGTGAAATAATTCTTGTAGCTTGGTTGGCTTTGCAAGGGGACGAAAGCTGCTAGAGCTCTGCCCAGTTTAGCTCGCTGGGACTTACTTTCGAGTAGACCCGAATAGGTTTGCCCTGTAAACTGCCCAGTAGAAAACTTCATCTCACATATCTGTGGTTATTGAAGCACTTTTTGCCTTTCTCTAACTGGGTTTCTGAACAGGCCTTTGGACTCCGTTGCTCCTTCCCACCCAACTTAAATCCCTCCTCAGAATTAAGCCTTATTGAATTCAGTGGGTCTTACTCTCAGGTAAGTAGGGATCGCACCATTAGCACAGGTGTGTGTCTGAATGAAGGTTCTCTGTGTGTATACTGTTACATCTTGGCTGCCTCTGTTTTTTAGTGGACCTAATCCTAGCGGACAAAAGGGGGAAGGGCAGAGTCCTTTTTTTTTTTTTTTTTAGTATTTAGGGTTTTTAAAACACCTCTTTGTGGAGTTTGAGGATAAGTTCCCCTGCAGAGGGCCTGGAAACAAGAGAAACTTGATTGTGCACATAGTGTGATTTCTTGAAGGAGAGAAAGGGTGTGTTTCTGAATATGAGTGTATTGAGGATGTGTTGTGCTTTAACCTTCATCTTTGATGGCCACATTAATGAGTGCCAAGCTGAAACAGTAGCTAATAATTTGATTTGTTGGGACAAGCCCAGTACTCTGGGTTCTCTAGTTTATCTGTGAGGTAGTGGCTGGATTGCCAACACATACATTCAGACTCCCTGAAAGTGCACCTTTTTGTTAAGGTATGAATCTCCATATTGTAGTGCAACAGGCACCAGCTGACATTCACACTTACGCATGATTACTGTAGATGACAACCCACCTATTTGGGGGGAGGAAGCCAATGCTAGTGCCCTGCAAAGGTGTTGTACTGCAACTCCCACCAGCTTCCAGCAGCATAGTCAGTGTTTGGGGTGATAGGTGTTGTAATCCAAAACTTCAGGGTCTGCCTACCTTGGTCTGAAGGGCACTATGTTGACTACTCTTGATTTAAATGTGGACATGGTGGTGGTTCACACATACATACAGTGGTACCTCAGGTTAAGAACTTAATTTGTTCCGGAGGTCCGTTCTTAACCTGAAGCACCACTTTAGCTAATGAGGCCTCCCGCTGCTGCCGCGCAATTTCTGTTCTCATCCTGAAGCAAAGTTCTTAACCTAAGGTACCATTTCTGGGTTAGCGGAGTCTGTAACCTGAAGCGTCTGTAACCCGAGGTACCACTGTACTAACAACCAAGAAATGGCTTGACTGGAAATATTTTTCTACTTTGGAAACCTCAATTACAGTCAAGCTTTTTGTTGTTGTTGCAGATGTACAGATTCTTCTCCGTTGGCGATGTGCTTTTTCAGCTTCGAACACATGTAGCATTTGCCTGCCATCGCCCCTGCCAACAGGTGGTATGCAAGGTTGCAAGGCAGATGCTGCTTTACAGGCTAGTGGCTGTACATCTGATAAAGAGCTTTTTGATATTGCATTCACCACTTGTAGCTTCCACAGGAGACAAAGCTACAGATGGGGGTAGCACCTAAATCAGTCTTCAAAATGGCAAAGCTGAGCAGATGTCTGTGCTCTCCCCGCCCCATACGTTTAATGTGGTACTAATTCTCCCATCTAACTAGGCAGTGTTATTTGCCTAGTTTGCATATTGGGAGTGTGATGGTTTCGGTTTTAAATTAGGCAATGTGTTTATTGTGTGTTGAATGCACACGGTGGGAAAGCTAAGTACGATACAGCCATGGGAATCATGTACATGACACCCTTTTGGGTGTAGTGGGGAATGTGAAAGGAAGCTTGCTTTTATATGCACATTTCTATCATTGGTTTGGGGTGCTCAGCCATTGGTTATTCCATGTTACTTCTTTTGCCTGTGGCTGCCTGGGTGTTCGTTTTCCCTCCCACCCACTTCCCCTTCAATTCAGCTTCCACAGATCTTGTGGGAGAAGTGATAAGTCTTCATCAGATTGGCACATTGCTCAGTCAACATTAGAGAGGGTGGAGTAGCATAGTGATTAATTGTAAGCTATGAGGCACGAAGTCCTAGTGTCAAATCTCAGCTCATTCTGAAAGCAGCCTTAAGCAAACTCCCTCTCTTAGCTGTTCCGTGTGCAATATTTTGTTTACTGTTGGTTACATTTCTGCTCCTTTCTTCCTTCCTGGAACTCAAGGTGGTGGTGTTCATAGGGTTCTCAGGTGATCTCTCAAGATCAGGCCTAGACCAACTTAGCTTCAGAAGGCTTGCCCTTGGATCTGTGGGACTAACTCTGGTGTATCTTACTGCAACATTTCCATTCTAGCCCACATAAATGTTTGCTAGATGGCCAGAATGCCCACCTATAAATATTGGCCACTTCTGGTATGTTTATAGCCTTGGAGAAGAAAATAATTATCTACCAAATTACAAATGCTTTGCTTTTTGGCTGCCTGGAGGCAATTGTTGCTTGCCACAGGTGACCAGATGAGTAGCTATTTATAATTCTACTTTACAAGTTTAAGGATAACTAACCGGTGGCCGAATCACATGCTAATTGATTTCTCATCTCATCACTCAGTTGGTTATAATCTATTAAGCCTCAGCTGAATGTGTGAGCACAGAAATAACAATGTGCCTGAGGTAGTCTTGTTAGATTTGGCAATTTCAAGTGTGCAACTCATCACTTGATGTGGCTATCAAGTGATGTGAATTTGCACTTTCATAATGTATCTGAAGTATTTGAAGTGCTTAAGAAAAGCATTGTATAAATTACAATCGTACCTTGGTTCTTGAACGTAATTCATTCCAGAAGTCCATTCGACTTCTGAAAACATTCAGAAACCAAGGCGCAGCTTCCGATTGGCTGCAGGAGCTTCCTGCACTCAATTAGAAGCTGTATCTGATGTTCTGCTTTCAAAAAATGTTCGCAAACCAGAACATTCCCTTCCGGGAACCGAAACAGAACAGAAGGAATTGGAAGTCCAAAGAACTAATAATTTTAATTTTATCACAGGATGGCAAGTAGACTGCCAGATGTTGAGGAGCAAGATGAGGATGAGTGTGAGCCAGTTGAGTCAAAAGGATCAGATAACACCGTGCGTTCGGACAGCACCTTTGGAACTGAAAGCCCAGAGGCAGGTGAGGGTGGTCACCCTACCCCTGAAGATGGAAGCACAACATGCTCTCAATCCATGAGAAGTGAAGGGCTTGATTCTGAGCACCGGATTAACTGCACATTCTCAGTCTCGTTGGCTGTTCCAGTTGTAGCTCCAAGTAGGTAAATTGCATTTATCAGTCCTTTTCATTCCTTTCAGAAGATGTTGTCCCAAAATATTAAGGAGAACATTGCCCCCCACCAAAAAAAACCTGTTTCATCCCCCCCAATAGTTATGTAAAAGCCTTGTTCTGCATTGCCCAATGGTTACATTGCTGGTTGTCTCACAGTTGATAGTGATGCAGAGTACCTACTGTTTTTGAGTTCTTGTCAGTGCCCACACGTTGGCATATTGTGTGACTGGGCTGATTGCACCAAGTCTTGTATATTTGTGAGCCTGAAACTGGCATAATTTTTAGTTCGTGTGTTCTCTTGTCTTAATAGTTTAAGGTGTGGATCCCTCCATTATGGAGCATCATGCTCTGTTAACACCTTTCTGGGCCTGATGTGGCCCTTTGTAGCTGCCACTCTCTTGTTCCTTTAGCATCTTCCAATAGTGTGGGCTTCCTTACACATTCTCACAGTCATAGTACCACAAGACTGTTGTTTTTCAGCAACATGCTTAACATGTTTTCCTTCTGGAAAGGAAAAATTAGGTTAGGCTTGTGGCTGGTGTAGATAAATACTTTATATTGGAATGGTTTTTGCTAACTCTTGACGTTTGAAGAATTGGGAAAGATTATCGTGTATCATGCCTACAGAATTTAGGAACTAATGCTCCTGCTCAGCTTGGGAACTACCTTTGAGAAAGGATTTTGGGAAGAGAGTTACTGGTTTTGCCAGGGAGCTAAACTGAATGTACAACTTCCACTAGAAATGAAGGCCAGATCCTAGCAGGGACCCCAACAGCTCTGCAGAAGATGTGTGTGTTCATATGTGTGTGAGAAAAATAAGATTCTTGGAAAGATTTGTTTACATAAAATGTGGAAAATGGTATTTTGTAACAGTTGGATTCTCTTCCCACTTCCAATTTCTCTTGGGGTATTTTTCTAGCAAATAAGCCTGTGATGGCCTCTAGACAAGATATTTCAAGAACAGCATCTAAAATGAGAGACACGTATATTCCAAAAATGCATCGTTTTTATCATATTGAATATTTTCTTCTGCCCGATGATGTTGAACCCCGAAAATTAGATTTGGTGCTATTTGGTCCAGTGGCTAAACTGTTTGTGGAATCAGAATCTAAGGTAAGAAGAACAAGCAACATTTACTAATATTACTGAAATCTGAGGAAAGGCGTTACTGCATAGCAATTTAATCCTATATGGTTGGTCTCCTTGGATTCCAGACTGGTTTCAAAGGATTTTTGAAATACTTACTCTGTGTTCTTCTGAGGTTTCTATAAAACAACTTATAGCAAACGTTTATGTACAAAATACTGCCCTGATTGTCAGTAGATATTCCGAAAGTTATTTTCTTTGTCTCCAGCTTCAGTACATATGACAATAACCTGGACTATATCTTATCAGGTGAACCTAGCATCTGTTCCCATGTGTCTCTTCTGAATCTGTTTCCCACTAACTTCAGGGGGTTCAGTAGATCCAGGTCACTTATTGTTGACTAGATTTCAGCTAGTTTCAGAAACTTGGCTCAGTGGTAAAGCACATGATCTGCATGCAGAAAGTTCCAGGTAGTTTCCCTGGTATCTTTACTTGAGACCCTGGAAAGCCACCTGTGACCCTCCACATGTTGTTGACTCAAATTCCCAGCAGCCCTAGCTAGCATAGCAGCCAGTGGTAAGGGCTGAATTCCAGCAACATCTAGAGACCACAGGTTCCCACTCCCTGGGCTAGATAGGCTACATAGACAAATATTTGCTCCTGGCATCAGACAGCGTCCTGTGTTACTGTTGATATGCACCGAGAGGAGATTATGATTTGTTTCTTGAAAAGTTCAGCTGTGTTTGTTACACATCTTTCCTACTCCTCCTTCAGGAAGCTTAGGGCGTCTTATATAAGAACCACTCAGCCCCTGAACAGGCAGAAACCTGACACAGCCTTCACAGGCCACTTCCTGGCCTGTTCTCTAGTTTTAAGTCCTGTTTTTCAGCTGGAACATGTGCAAGTAATCTATGGATTCTGAAGAAGTTAGATACTAACATAGCAATTTAAGCAGCTTTAGAAATAATAGCCATTAATTTCAAATAGTGCTTTTCCACGCTGATACAAATGGTATTCTGATTTTGGAGTGTCTGTATACTTAGGCAAGGACTGAACTCCGTTGAGCAGCCTTCGTCAACCTGGTGCTTTCCAGGTGTTTAGGACTACGATTTTCATCTGCCCCAGCTGGCACAGGGCTCATAGGAGTTTTAGTCCAAAGCATATGAAGGACATCTGGTTGGGGAGGCTGCTGCCAATTATTCAATTATTCTGCAGTTTTAAAGCATAACAACTATATTCCCCATAATATTTATGCTAGGCAACCCCAAACTCGGCCCTCCAGATGTTTTGGGAGTACAACTCCCATCATCCCTAGCTAACAGGACCAGTGGTTGGGGATGTTGTCCCAAAACATCTGGAGGGCTGAGTTTGGGGATGCCTGATTTATGCAGTCATCCTATTCATATGAAATTTGGGAAGGGGGAGCTGCTTGCTGTGGTTTACAGACTACTCGGCTCAGAATAAGAATCACAGAGCTACCACAGCCTGAACAATTGGAGTAAAAGTAGTGACACCCCCCGTTTCTAAACCCACACAGTTTCCAAACATTTTTCTAGTAAATAAAACAAAGTTTTTAGATTGAAGGTTGAAATTATTTTGATAAAGTAAGTATTCTTGTCAAGTACATCTTTTGTTGGTAACTTGCTGCGTCTGCTTGGATTTTAGGAGGCTTAATCTTTCTGATTTCACACAGGAAAAGATGGGTAGGCAGATTATGCAGGTGTAATTATAGAATTGGGGTGTTTGGAAGGGAAGCGGTTGCATGAGGGGTTGTTTGACTTAAAAATTATTCCTGCAATCAAGATGGTTTGTATTTTACCACTATGGCATTCACTACAGAGAATTCCATTAAGTGGGAGAATAGTAGGCGCCCACCTTCTTTCCCACTCCCAGCTCACAATGTTATGTATTTCCTGTGGCCTTCCAGATGTTGCTAGACTATCACTCCCATTATCCCTGGGTACTGATCATGCCAACTGAGGCTGACAGGAGTTAGGCAACATCTGACAGTGTTGCTATCCATTTCCTGGATTGTCCAAGGCAGTCTGGTTGGATAGGCTTCTTTGACCACTGAGAACAAACTAAAAGCGGCTGCAGGTCAGTGGAGAGGCCTGACGGACTGCAGTATTGAAAGCTTGATGTTTCCCGCCATGGTGTTTCCACAGTGGATATCCCTCCTTTGGCTGCTATGAGTGCTGCTGAGGAAGAGAGATGTGCACTTCGTGTGGTACGTGCCCATCCCCCATTGCTAAAAGCAGCTTCAGGGGGCACCCTCCTCTTCAGTGCATTCTCATACTACAGTTTTCTCCCCTCAAAGCTGTTTTAAAGCTTTGATAAAAGACCTCAAGAGATACTATCACAGATCTCCGAAACCCATTTTCCTGTGGGATTCTCACACCTCCTATCCAATTTTAACTCCTGCCATTCTTGATGTTTAAAATCAGAACAAAAGTAAAGCTTTCGTTTTTAAGAGGGAAGTGTTATTTCTCTCATAATTGGGTTTGTAAATCACTACTATTGACTCTGCCTTTTCGGTGGTTTGCAAACCTGATTGTGAGAGAAACACCACTTCCCTAATCCATTCAGGTGGTGGCTCCTGTGCAGTTTAAGAAAACAATCAAAATTAGTAGCAGCTGCTTCTTTTAATTCTGCATGCATAGAATCATAGAATCATAGAGTTGGAATAGACCACAAGGGCCATCGAGTCCAACCCCCTGCCAAGCAGGAAACACCATCAGAGCACTCCTGACATATGGTTGTCAAGCCTCTGCTTAAAGACCTCCAAAGAAGGAGACTCCACCACACTCCTTGGCAGCAAATTCCACTGTCGAACAGCTCTTACTGTCAGGAAGTTCTTCCTAATGTTTAGGTGGAATCTTCTTTCTTGTAGTTTGGATCCATTGCTCCGTGTCCGCTTCTCTGGAGCAGCAGAAAACAACCTTTCTCCCTCCTCTATATGACATCCTTTTATATATTTGAACATGGCTATCATATCACCCCTTAACCTCCTCTTCTCCAGGCTAAACATGCCCAGCTCCCTTAGCCGTTCCTCATAAGGCATCGTTTCCAGACCTTTGACCATTTTGGTTGCCTTCCTCTGGACACGTTCCAGTTTGTCAGTGTCCTTCTTGAACTGTGGTGCCCAGAACTGGACACAGTACTCCAGGTGAGGTCTGACCAGAGCAGAATACAGTGGCACTATTACTTCCCTTGATCTAGATGCTATACTCCTATTGATGCTGCCCAGAATTGCATTGGCTTTTTTAGCTGCCGCGTCACACTGTTGGCTCATGTCAAGTTTGTGGTCAACCAAGACTCCTAGATCCTTTTCACATGTACTGCTCTCAAGCCAGGTGTCCCCCATCTTGTATTTGTGCCTCTCATTTTTTTTGCCCAAGTGCAATACTTTACATTTCTCCCTGTTAAAGTTCATCTTGTTTGTTTTGGCCCAGTTCTCTAATCTGTCAAGGTGGTTTTGAAGTGTGATCCTGTCCTCTGGGGTGTTAGCCACCCCTCTCAGTTTGGTGTCATCTGCAAATTTGATCAGGATGCCCTTGAGTCCATCATCCAAGTGGTTGATAAAGATGTTGAATAAGACCGGGCCCAAGACAGAACCCTGTGGCACCCCACTAGTCACTCTTCTCCAGGATGAAGAGGAACCATTGATGAGCACCCTTTGGGTTCGGTCAGTCAGCCAGTTACAAATCCACTGAGTGGTAGCATAGTCAAGCATGTGTCACAATAGTTCCTGTGCCAGGGATACAGCAATGATTGTGCTGTGCTGTCCTTCCTCTCCTTCCCTCCCCTCCCTTCCCCAAATTATATTGTAATAAAGAGAGCTTGGAGAGAGCCTGAGTAGGGGAGGGAGAGAACGGAGAAAAGGGGGAGCAGGGATTGTGAAGCAGGGGCAGCAGTCTGGATGGTGGGAAACAGTTGGCACAAGAAATTGGGATAATAATAATAATAATAATAATAATAATAATAATACCCCACCTATCCTACTGGGTTTCCCCAGCCACTCTGAGCAGCTCCAGCCACTCTGGGAGGCTTTGGGAGAATCCTTACAGGCCATATAGGTTTTGGGAAAGATTAGAGTGGTGTGGTGAATGCTTTGGAGGGGTGTTGTTGGGAAGGGAAAGCTCTTGTAGTTTGTATGAGATGCATAACTGAAACATGCTGCTGTACCTCTTTACATTTTTACATTTCCCCTGTTTCTTCCTTTCCTTTGCTCTTGCTTCTTTCTTCCTATTCACTATATCAGCCAGAGACTCCAAAAGACAGTGAGCGGCCCAAGTCGAAAAAGGGATCTGCGCTGCGTATTTCAGTGAGTGCGTATAAGGTTGTAAGACAGCTCTAGAAATGCGTTTATGCCTGCTAAATCTGAGGTGGAGAATGTAGGAGCTTGCTATCCTGTTGGCCTGCGCTCAAGGACGGTGGCAGAACACTCTCTTATGTGGTGGCGCCATTTAATCACGACTGTTCCATTGATGCTGAGCTAGAAAGATGTGGCCAGCGCCATGTTCCATTCCAAGGAATTGCTGATTATATTTGGCTATTAGCAGTGAGACTAGAGAGCGCCGTAGTTTCTCTTACGAACATTGCTTTCTTAATGATAGCATTTTGTTATGACATCACACAATACCTATTGCCAAAGGCTCTCATCAGGCAATAATGAAACCATAATGATATCACTGTGTACTATATAGGACTATTCCCTGGAGCAAAGTGGGGGAGCAAAGGTGACTTGCCGATTTCCCCTTCCTCTTGTTCTCCTGAGAGGCTGCTCCAGAGGGTTGGAGTATCGTCTGGAATAGCATGGGAATTAGGATAGAAGGCTGCAGAGGGAACTGTTGAAAAATGCTTCTCTTCCCTACTTCCCTCCAACAAGATGTTGTCTCTTTGTTCATTTGCTACAGCTGATCTCCAAATATAGCAAGAAAATGGTAAACTTGTGAAATAAGATGGCAAATGCTATTGGACTTTGGACTCTACCGTATTTTGCTCCTACCCCTTAGAATATATTTTCTCTCTCCTGCAAATCCAAACCAGTACCTTTTCCTCATTATGATCCCATGAACTTCAGCTTTAGTTTTGCAAAAATAAAATTCACAGGATCTGACCACAGCAGGAAAAGTGGGATTTCTCATAGTTATAAGGCAGCTTCGGATGGCTATGAATCATAGTTTTGGGTGAAGGCAAATCACCAGAACACAACCTTCATAGTAAGATCTGACTCAATATTTTGAGAGAATTCAATTTTTTAAACCCTGCTCAATCTTAATGTGGATTTTAATAGTTATGAATATTGCAGTTTTATGTCTTTCCAGTTGGTGGCAAGGAGAGGAATTACTAATGCTTTTAAAAAATCATTATTTCTTCTCTTTAATGTTTTGGTGTTTAATACAATATATTTTCAAGCTCCAGTAAAGTTGTCAGGCTTTTGTGGCTTGTAAGCATGTTTGGAAAAACCATTGTGGGCGCCACCACAAAATGATTGCTGTTAGAGCCCTACAAGTCACAAAAGGCTATTGCCCAGTCACAAAGGTGAAATGGTTTTCCCATAAAACAAGGTAGAGGTTGAGTCTGAGGCCCAAACCACCGTTTGACCCTAAAAAGGACAATGGAATGCTCCTCACATAAAGATCAAACACACCCCACAATCCAGCAATCACATCCCAGCAAAACTACAAGCCACGCCACGTTGTAACCACATGCAAGATAAAATGCTCCACTGCTCCACACTGCCCCCTTCCTACCCCCAACCTGGAAAATCGAGGATCTCACTCACATGCTCCTGATGGTGATATCCCATTGAATCAAATAGGGCCCTTTTCCTTTTTTGGAAAGGAAATTTTCAAAACTTGAGGACTGATCCAGGTTAGGACATAGGGCATAAAGGGCCTTTAACTCTCTGGCCTCCCACTTGTGGTCTCAATCCAAACTGGCTCCCTTCCCAAACCTGCAATTTACAATATAGAAAAGGACCCGTTTGGTTCAGTAAGACCTCTTTTTGCAATGCAAGGTGGGCCTAGTCAAATTCAGGACTGCAGCGGAGGCAAAGAGATAAAATTCTCCTACCCTAAAGCTCTAGGATACTGATGCTGACAATATGTAAAAATGCTTCTTGGCTTCTGTTACACCCCCCCCCCCGCTACAGGTTTTCTTCCGCCACACTCCACTGACCCACAACAACTCCCTGCTTATGATGCTGAAGTCCCTTTTTGTCCCAGCTCCCCCTTTTTTTTAAAAAAAAGGCAAATTGGGCTGCCCTCATGCAGGAAAGCAAAGGCCAGGCCTTTAACAACTCTGACCACTCTCTCTTCCTTTGTGAGCTTCTGTGGCACATGGAGCCCAGAGACATAATGTGGGGAAATGGGGGATAGAGTGGAGCAATTGGAGGGTAAAATAAAATAAAAAAGCACCAAAAACCAGGATGTCCAGGAGGGCTTTGGTGGGTACTAAAGAAGGGACAGTAGTTCTTGGCAACCACTGTAAGTTGCCCAGTTTATACATCTTAAGTTTCTTTTGAAATGCAAAAAGAATAATTGTGGCCCCTAATGTATTTTTTTTTAAATCCTGTGTTTGTTTTTTAAATAAAAAAAAAATAGGTTGTGAGACCATGGCTTGAACATGACCAGATATGGGTGTCATGGAATCATAGTGTTGAAATTAATGTTACCACCGACTTTCTAATGAAGCTAAGAGATCATAGTATAAAGCTGAGATTATGGACACCAAGGATAAGGTTTGTTCAAAAGCCAAGTATAGTAAAGCAAAGACTGCTGTACCACCATCGGATCAAGGATCTCTTGAAGGTAAGCAGAGTATTTAAGTAATAAAATACTTTATAAATGCTATGTGCAGATAAAGGAATTAGCAGTTTGGTTTTCCAACTGAGTGCAGTGATGCATTTGTGACATAGCTAAAATGGGTTTTCCTCCCATTTTGCATGGTTTAAAAAAAACCAAAAAACTGAAGAATGTCCTTGGAGGGCACAGGCTGCTGTGGTTAACCCTGAGCTGGTCTCAGTTTAGTCACTGCCTAGATGCAAGACTATATTGAAGCCCCATCCAAATCAGTTGAAAGATTCCCATCAGATTTTGTCCAATTTTCTTCTAAAACTTTATGAGAAAAGAGATTCCTCCACAGATGCTGATGGTCTCTTGCAAGTTGCAGCATTCAGACCTGCCAGATTCCATGTGTAAAATCAGTTTTAAAACTGATTCTTCCTCCATCCTACTCCTGAATACCGAATATATTTGCCTCCCATGCAAATATCTGTTGGTGAACTCTTGAGGCTTTGCTAGTATAGATATATTTTACTTTGCAGAAAACCCCCCAGAAAGCTTCTGTTCTTATTTAGGGTTTTGTTGGGAACATAGCCTGGTAGGCTTCAGGGATGATTGCTTTGTAAGGTGAATCAGAAAAACTGGATACCGGGCCTTCTTCACACATAACATTAATCCATATTCAGAAATAAAACATGGAACAGTTCCTTTTGCTCTCCTGTTTGGAAGAAACAACCAGAAGGCTTGGCTTAACATTATGAGTGAACCAGGGATTGTGCCCCCCCAACACACACACACACACACACACACACACACACACACACACAGCATCTCTGAGTAGTAAGATAGGAACAAACCAGCGAACTTCTCATTCATAGTAAGCCATAGTCTATTTTTGACTGTGGCCTCATAAATGAATGAGAACATGACAAGGTAACCGCATATTAAGAAACTCATGAGTCCTGAATGTAATTTCTTCTTACCTTTCCTCCCCTCAATGTACAGTAAAGCATATGATTTCGCTTCAAAGAAACTTCCTGGAACAATGTCAACCCAAAGCCAGTTACACAAAAATTAAACCACCAGAAGTGTCCCCCATATCAGAGAAGTCAGCAATTGGCATTATAACAGGTACAGTAGTATGAGCATGGTGCTACATTATCTGACTGTTCTACAGAAACTATGAGCCATCTCACTGTTTCAGCCTTCATTGTCCTTTAAACTTGTATAACATGTTACCGTGGTACCTCTGGTTACGAACTTAATTCGTTCTGGAGGTCCATTCTTAAGATGAAACTATTCTTATCCTGAGGCATGCTTTCGGTAATGGGGTCTCCTGCTGCGCGTGTGCCTCTGCTGCACAACTTCCGTTCGCATCCTGGAGCAAAGTTTGTGCCCAGGAGCAACTACTTCCAGGTCAGCGGAGCTCGTAACCTGAAGCATTCGTAACCAGAGGTACCACTGTATTTAGCAACAGTGGGTTGGATCCAGACCTGCTCCTATTGTTGGAAAAGTGGAGATGTCTTTCGCTGATTTGCCTACTCCCCCAGGGCCATCTGCATGTTATTTAGGGGCGGGGAGGTTCCCCAACCCTCTGGAGCAGATCTGCAGCCCCTTCAGGAATCAGCCAAAATTGTCTCCTCCTTTCCTCCATCAGAGGCATTTCTCCACTGGATCAACAGCTTTCTGCAGAGAGAAGGATGCCTTTCATTTGTGGGAGACAAACTCTGACCCAATCCAAGATACTATTTTATAGTCTCTTTTATGGCACAGTTCTGATAGCAGCTCATAACTATTGAAAGTTCAGTAACAATAAAAATAAACATGAAAACTGTGGAGAAAGTAAAAAACAGATTAAAGCTAAAACAGATTTAAAAATCTGGGAAAATAAGATCTTTCTGGCTACAAAATGGCATCAGTGTATTTATCTGGAGAGGATATTCCAAAGTTTGGCTGCTATCTCCTACAATCACCCACCACACCTTACTTCATGGGGGCACTCTTGCTCTCCCATTTTAACTCCGTTTATGCTCTGATCCATCCCAACTCATTACCAAGTGTTCTATAACTAAAGCAAGTAAACGTGCAGACAAATGATATTATTGCAGAGTCCCTTTGGCTAAGGAGAATTAATGTGATTATATTTCCATTAACAACCACCTTGTCTTTGGGGTTGTGTAAAATAATTCACTCAATTTTAAAGATTAATTCCAGTTTTAAGTGTTTCCATAATTTTCACGCGGTACATCCACTCAATTCTGTCAAATGCCTCCTTTGCATCAATGAAGTATGTATCTGTAAATGGTCCATTTACAATTGCTCGTATTTATTTGTAAAAGTATTTATATGCCATTCTCTTGCAACACATCAGCAACATAAAAACATTTAAAACCAATACAGAACAATAATTTAAAAAATGGGCTGTTCAAGAAAATTGTAAACAACTGCAGAGGCCTGTAGTCATTAAAGTCTTCAAAAGTCTGAAAGTCACAAGTGAGGATGCCTGCTGAATCACTTCTGGAATAGTGTTCCACAGCTGGGGACTAAATGCCTGACTTCTGGCTGAGGCCAGTTGGGCCTTTGTAATACGGGGGGCAACTCGCGGTGATCTTCAAGATGATCCCAGTGATTGGGCTGGGACACAAGGGCTCAGTTGGTTGGAAATGACTCAAGAACTGTTCAGATAAATTTTGTGTACCTTGAGTTTTCTAAAGGTAACTCAAGAAGAAAAGACATAATTTAACTCTCATTTGAGAAGTCATTTGAGAAATTTGAAAATATAAAAGGGGATAATTCTAGTTTCAAAGAGAAAATGCACTCTGTCTCACAGCAGGCAACATCTTAGAAAATACATTCTCTCCTATTTAAGAGAGGACACTGAGAGACCATTGGTTCATCTAATTCAGTAACATCATGCTGACTGGCAGTGGCTCTCCAGAATTTCAGACAAGAGTCTTTCCCAGGCCTACCTGAAAATACCAGGGACTTTCTTCATCAGTACACATGCTCTACCACTGAACTATGGGCCTTCCATAAGAATGCCTCTTTACGATGGTGCTTTCCAACTCCTGGTTTTATATGTACTGTTATATCATCACCATCATTATCATCATCATTAAAAATGTCTTCCATATTAATTAGTGGTTGATTTTGTTTGTTTGCTATCTTTGAGTTTTTATATTGTAAGTTGCCCTGTGATCCTCAGATGAAGGGTGGTATAGAACTTTAATAAATAAAATAAAAACTTTTAGTCAATTAAGTGCTTTTTAAATTAATTAACCTATGACCAGTTAATCGAACAGTGTAGCCCTAATTAGTATTGTATATGTTACAGGTTCTCCTGGTTCGGCTGCAAGCAAGCCTCTGGATGAAGACTCTTTCATTGAACAAAAAACTTCCCGTAAATCTATTGTGGGTGGCCCAGCTCACTCAGTGAGGTAAATCTCTTCAGGGCATAGGGCCATTGGAACAATTTCTGTTTCTACTGGGGCATGCACGTACACCTTTAAAGAAAACTTAAGTCGGCTGTTTTTTCCAGATGTCATGTCATGTCATTTATTTATTGATTTGATTTATATACTCCCAAAAGAACCCGGGGCTGTAATTTATACTTAGACATTGACATCTATAGAACTTGTTTAAGATTGCAAAGTACTTATAGCTTTAAAATGCAAGACCAATAGCGACGTATTTTGCAGCAAGCAAATTTGTCTCTTTTTTAATATATAAATTGAGTCAACAGCTTTTGTCACTACCAAACTCTTGTTTACCGTCTTAATTTGCAACATTTCCCCTTTGGCAAGCTGCCAAAGCACTAGACTTAGTTAAGTTTGTTGGTTTAAAAAAAGCAAGGGGGTTTATCTTGTAGTTTTTAGCTTCTACAAGTCTGGGCAGACAGAGGTAGTGCCTCATTTTCTGAGGCAGAGGATGGTGGCAAGGCTGCCTTCTCTAGCTGGGAGGGCCCAATGTAAGGTACCGTTGGTTCTTCCCTCGAGGAAGCTGCACAAAACTTGTCCTCATCCAAGTCCTCAGCCAAACTGCAAAATTTCCAGTGGTGGGTCACGACACATACCCTATTTATGGATCTCTTCTTGTCTCCAGTACTTTAATCCAGGAGGTACAAAGGGGGCCAGGACTGCTTGTTGCCACCAGCTCTGTGCCATTTCTCCATAGTGCAACACTTAGTGGCTGCTTTCATGCGCCTCTCCACAATTTTGGTAAGGCAGTGTGGGACTCAAACTGCTGAGGGCTCTTGGCAGCAGGGCCCAAGTGCTTTATATTCCCAGTGCCACTAAAGCAGCTTCTGGAGACTGAAGTAGTTTCTTGACACTACCTGGTAATGTCTCAGAATGATAATGCAGCTCATCATTGTGGCCAAGCCAGACGGCTTAAGGAACCAATGGGTGCATGTTTGACTCTGTATCACTTGTTTGAGTCTGAGCAACATGTTGTTCTCAATAGCTGTGCAGGCTTCTCTTCTTGCCTGTCCTCGCCTCATTTGTCCAGTGTGTTTATGCTACCACCAGCTTGTCTGTGACCTGCATCCAGCCCTTGCTGTTGGTTTATGTCAGGGACGTCCAACTCCCAAGAGACGGCGATCTACTCACAGGAAAAGAATACTGGCAGTGATCAGTGATCTACCCCTTTTTGGGGGGGGGGTGTTTCAGGCTAAAGTTGCTGAGGTTTTTTTAGGGAGGGAAATGTCAGACTACAGTAAAGGGAAAAGGGGTTTAGTCACTCACCAAAAGATCGCTATGGAAACAGTCTGCCTCATAGCCAAAACTACGTCTCCCGTTCGAGTGATCATGTGGAAATGGAGGGTGGGGCGGGGGCAGATGCTCTTAGGCAAAAGCAAAGGAAAAGGAGCCTGCGATCGACCAGAACCTCCCAGGGATTGACCCGTTGATCCCGATCGACCTGTTGGACATACCTGGTTTATGTGATGTGGAATGTGACCCTTGTCTTTCCTTGGCTATGTTACCTACCTCTGGCCCTTTGGATCTCAGTCTGCTTGTACCAGGATGGCCAAGGCCTAATATCTGGAAAAAAGCAAGAGGGAAGGAAGCTGGGAGAGGCTGGGTTGCACTCAGTCTAAGTACAGTGGTGCCCCGCAAGACGAATGCCTCGCAAGACGAAAAACTCGCTAGACAAAAGGGTTTTCCGTTTTTTGAGTCGTTCCGCAAGACGAATTTCCCTATGGGCTTGCTTCGCAAGATGAAACGTCTTGCGAGTTCTTGTGAGTTTGTTTCCTTTTTCTTAAAGCCGCTAAGCCGTTAATAGCCGTTAATAGCCGCTAAGCCGTTAATAGCTGCTAAGCCGCTAAGCCGTTAATAGCCGCTAAGCCGCTAATAGCCGTGCTTCGCAAGACGAAAAAACCGCAAGACGAAGAGACTCGCGGAACGGATTAATTTCGTCTTGCGAGGCACCACTGTACTCTGTTGGTAGCTAGATAGAGAGACAGAGGCAGCAGCCATAACATGCTCACTTTTTAATCATTGCATCTTGGGATAGATTACAGAGTTGGCTATCGTTTGTTACTTTCTTCCTTTGACATTTTCAGATGACCTTTAATTTCTTGGAAAAATAGGGGGAAATTGAACTTTTGAAAACGTTCTTCATTTCAGGCACATTCCTGTACTTCAGATTTATTGTAGTGCTATTCTCCTTGTCAGCCACCCAGCTGATAGGGTGTTGTAAAATACAGCTTGATGACGGGCACACTGTAGGGGTGTATGCAAGTAACATGACTGGTTTTATTTCAAGAGATGTTTTATGAGAGTTGAGAGAGATCCTTAGCATAAAAATGTTTTCCCCCCACCCATACTATCTTGCCAGCCTAGCTCAGTGTATATTGACTGCATTATGGAGAAGCTGCTAATAGACATTCAGGCAGTTTTGCATGTGCATCTGGTGCCTTGTAAATCTTTTTCCTTAGCGGCTCTCTCCCTGAACCACAGAGTGGCTTATATTAGGTGAAAGGAAGCTTGAATGCAGTTTGGCAGGGGAAGGGGCTTCTGAATCGGAAAGATGTGAGGAAGCTCAGGTGAGTGCATAGGACCATGGATTGCTTCTATCTGTTGCAACTTGGAAAGCGATTCCTAGTAAACAGTCAAATAATGCTCATAGGACAGAGGTGTTGATGTAAAATACTACTTTAAGCCACTGGGTAATATAAATGTTTGTTGCATGGGGTTAAGCTTATTTTGATTTTTGAGAAAATTGTACAGTGTGCTTAATCTCCTCCTGCTGCTATTTTAAGATTTCTTGAATTGCTGCGTCTCCTTTCTTCAACAGTCCTTAGTTCCTGCTTTGTAGACTAAATACCCATTTCCTGGTCTTGTCGTTTGAAGTCCGTGCCAATTCAATAATTTTCTCTTCTTATTTTCCCAGTAGGAAAACAGTCTCACAGGATGATAATAAGCATATTAAGAAAAGCCCAAGAGTCCAATTTTTGTAGGCATTTTTAAAATACAAGTTACATTATTTTTGACTGGTACTTAGAAAATGGAGTTACACCATTTTATTGCCAGATAACGTGGGTGTGGTAGATTTGGCATCTCCAAAAACCTTACAGACATAAGGTTTGCAGCCAAACAAAATGTTGTCTTTATCAGGGCAACATCACACATTATGCTATACTGGCCACCACAGGAATGTTCCCCTGGCATTGCAAACAGATTTGCTGGCACAAATGCTCGGATAGAGCTCCAGAAACTAAAATCCTATTTAAAGTTCATTTAATAGTTCTTTGACTATTAATGACGCTTTGCACTGCAGGACACCCTGATTCTATAATTGGAGGATGGTGGCAGATGGTTGGCATTGACATAAATCACAAGTGGCTTTGTACAAGTTGATCCAAGTTGCTGTATATGTCTAATTCCTCTCATCAAGCTAACATATTCCAAGAACCATTATTCTTGGGAGTTTGTAGGGTAAGGCATGCCAGACATGACATTTCAGTTTCACTAAGTAAGAGCATCCTCCGCTGAACAAAACAAAAAACTGAATTAAACCTTCCGAAGAAAAGCTAATGGACAGTAGCTAATAAATCTGGTTCCTTACTTGGTAAAATGTGATAATGCAAAACACTGCAGGTTTCCTTGTCTGTACTTCACATCATTAGCTCTGCATATGTGATGGGGCAATTCACAGTGGAGAGAAGCATCATTTGCAAATTTTGTATTGCTAGATGTTTCCAGGATGGAAGGAAAGTAGAGCAGAAGTGGGACTTATTCATGATAATAATAATAATAATAGTTTTATTGTTTATACCCTGCCCATCTGGTTGGGTTTCCCCAAGCCACTCCTCAGCCACTTACCATTTATGTCTTGTTCTGGACACTGACATCGGAAAGCAAGTTGGTTGACATAAAATGCATGGGTACATTTTAAGTGAGGCTTGTAAATACCTTCTTGTGTAGGTAGACATAGTTAGGAAGAAATAACACTAGGCAATTGGGCAGGGACACTTTTTTGAAATGGAGAGTGCTAAAAGCCTTTTTCTGTCTGGCCATTGATGTGTCACCAGTAACTAAGTGTGGGCAGTTGAAAATTTATAGCAAGGGGGCCATTGCCATTGGAGGCGCACTCTGGCCCAGTTTGCATGACACAGTAACTATGGTGCTGTCATAGTTAATAGTTTACTGTGAATGTCGGGATGGTTCCTGTTTCAGCTCTCCCTTAGCACTAGTGGGAACAATAAACTATCATGCCTACCTTAGTGTTATGCCTGAAGTGGGGATTGTGGTTTGTTTCACATCATGTTTGTTTGAAATGAAACAAGCCTCACCCCCCTATTAACTATGGCTTACTGTGCCGTGTCAACACAGCTGTTGTCCACAGTTTTCTTCTAGGAATTTGTGCACATGGGAAGCATCTGATCTGACTTGGTCTGCTGTTGCCCAAATAATTATCTTAAGGAGGGCATAGCACACAGCCTGCTGCTTCCACAGTAAAACTGCAAGACCAGTGGCTTGTGGGCAACACCCTAATAGGACAAGTAACAACAAATCCCTGTGAGCCATGAAGTCAGGTACCATAATGTCCGCCATGATGTCTCATAGGTGGGGTACCTTATTAAGTTTGTCATGGGGAAAAGTCAGCTAAAAAAAAGAATATTGACATTGTACTGCAATTGATATAATTGGTGATAACAATTAAATAATTTTTTTGCAATGTGTGACATACTAAAGATCACGAATATATGGTCTTCCAAAAGTCAGAGCTGCAGCCCTATCACATCCACAATTTTGTTACATATATTCAGTAGATTTTTTTGGGGGGGAGGGGTAAAATATGAGTTGCCAGTACTCTTAAATTGATAAAAGTGCTTTGAGTGCCAGCAGAAAAAATCTGCTACTCTGTGCTGGTGATTACTGTCACCAAAAAGTCTTGCAAATATCACATCTGGCGAACAACATACATTCCTGGACAG